TTTCGTAAACCGCCTGATTGACAGGAGGTGGAAAGGAGAGGGAGGAATTAAAGCATGAAATTCTTTTAACTCTTCCCTTGCAATTATGTAACCTTGGTGGAAACGTTGTTGGCTTGTTTTAAGGTTTGATGTTTGGTTTAGTTATAATAATAATAACGTCTTCCAGACCTAATATTAGTTACGACGGTTAGTCTCAACGGAAATCATCCATTTGCGCAGGACTGGCCTATAGTGCCAGAGTGTATGCGCAAGCACAGGTGTACTCTCTATTCCCTCACTCATATAGTGCAATGGGACGGCAACCCGATACAACCGGAGAGAGATTAGACGCAGAACCAACGACTTTTCGTGCTTTAAAAGGCACTGTGGTTATGCACCGTTAATTTTCTGATTCCAAGCTGCAACTAAAATTTTTTGACAAAAACCCTGGTACTGATTTTGGCCCACACGAGATTCCAATCCGGGACTACATGATCAGAATTTTTTGTGTTATTTTTATGTTCGCAGTTACGTTGCGTGATTGCACACTTTTTTATACGTTCTTTCTTTCTATATCACGGTTGCCATCACACTCTGAAATAAATCACACGCTGAAAAGAAAATACATTATACTCCACTTATAATCGAATATAGTTGACTTAACGATAGTATTTTTACAGCAAAGCCTAGTAGTATAATTGATTTAACGCAAGTCTTTGAATGTTTGGAAGAAATAATTGTTTTGGAATAAAGATATTAAGATTAATAAAACTTCTTTACATAGCTAGTATTTACTCATAGAAAATAAATTTATTCGATTAGTTTTGATAATTCGACATATAGTCAACTATCACTAGCTAAAAAGGAATAATCCCTTGCAAACTTTAAAAGTGGTATACTATAATACCAGGCAAAGTAAATTTATATATGTGTCTCATCTGGGCATGGCGTTATCTTATTTCTGAGAGGGTTTCAGGGCAAGAAATTGACCATCGCACTGCTTCAATACGTGTTGGCGGACTTCGCATGTCTTCGAAATATTTTTTAAATTTTTTAGAGATACAAGTTTTCTCCCGATGTTTTGCCTTTACTTAGAATTGCAAGAAACAATATCATTGGTGATGGCGGAAATTGAACCATAGTTGCGGACGTCCTTTTAAATTTACATCGATCGAAATTCACCCTGAACTACCAGAGCTCTAATTTTATAATGAAAATTAATAAAAAAAGTAATTAAATGTTAGTTCAGCGGTCTTTATCCCATTTTATCCTGTGTATGTCGTAACAGAAGACAGAGGGAAACTGAAACAGGAGATTAGCTGCTACTTTTCCTGACAACGACTCAAAATAATAAAAACCTGCTCGTGGCAACCCGCCTGATCTCTGTGGCAACTATAGTAACTATAACGCTAATAAGGTAATCTTTATGGGGGCCGAAATTTAGCAGTGGAATTTCATAAGGCCCTATGGCACAGTGATTTAGAAATGAGTGGCAGTGCTAAGAGACAAATCCCGCATGGAACAAGTATATGTATTGCCCACAAATAATTATTCCGGGTCTTGTTTGTCCTTATTTTTATGTATGTAAATAACAGGAGAAAATCCTAAAGAAATCAAATAAAATGAACAGATAGGCTGTAATGAATTATGATGATGAAAAAGGTGATCACTCTACAACATGGTACGTTGTTTGCACAACTCAAGAACACCTGCCACCAATTTCAAACAAAGTGAAATGCCCGTTTGGAAGTTTAAGAATTTAGTTATAAAGGTTAAAAAAAGGTTTATTATTTTTTGCTTTTAAGTTTTTTCGGCAGTTTAATTTTTTTGTTAAAATGTTTTTATACTTTATACTTTTTTCGTGCAACAATATCATGGTTTAGCCCGAATAGGTAGTTGACCAGAGCAGGTCCACGCTCACAGAGAATACCAGCGTAAAATAATAGTTTAATGCTAATATGTTTGGTATGGTTAGTCTAAAGAACTTGAGACAATTTTCACTGACAACAAGGCATTCCATCTTAATTGTCAGGGTTGCAACGCATCTGCATTTTGATTCTAAATTGAGTTTAATTAAGCCACAGATTCCACTAGCAATCAGGTGGACTGTGTGCTCGTTTGTCTCCCTTATTCTATAAAAAAGTTTGCGATTTTTCACACCCAGTCTCAGAACAACAAAGGAAGATAGACAGACTGTGTTCTTTGTGCTTCTACTTATCATTTGCCACCATGTAGTTCAACCATATAGTTTCAGGTGCATATGTGTGCGTGGATGTGGTTCTCACAATAAGTTAAGCATGGATTCGGCGTCATTTAAAATATACACATTGTACAAAGAGTTCTATTGTTGTCGTGTCAATTTTCTTTGTTGGTTTGATTAGTCTGCAATAAACCGGTTCTACATTATGTTTAATCTGGAACATATTATTGATGAAAAACTAAAACACAACAATGATCGACGCAATGCTGGTTGGCGTCAAAAACATCTATTCTATAAAGACTTTAAATAGAAGAGTTTTTCTACAATATTGTAAAATTAATGACAAAATTTTACTTACGAATTTTACCTTCATCTGCATATATTTCGAAATCGACATTTAAACTACTAAGCTAGAGTACGAATTACAAGGACCAGGCTCTCACACAATATCTTTGTAAAATCACACAATCATCATCATCATCATTGCAGCCCTTCACAAGTCTACTGCTAAACGTAGGACTCCACCAAGGAATGCCACAAGGCACGGTCCTGAGCCACCTGCATCCACCGACTTCATCTAGTATGGGGTCGCCCTACACTTCGCTTACCAGTACTAGGGAGTACTCAAAAATATTTCTTCCCCATCGGTTGTTGGTCCTTTGAGCTATATTGCCGGCCCATTGCCACTTTTGCTAACTATTCCGTCGGTTGTTTGTTATTCTGTCACATAATGATGTGGTGTTTTATATGATGAGTGTAGAGAGCCGGAGACCTTGGAAAGACATTCTGCCACTGTCCTCAAGGGTATTAAAAAAAAAAAAAAAAAAAAAAAAAAAAAAAAAAAAAAACAACGTATCGGCATTAAGATTGTTAAATCAAGGATAGATGTAGATATATATGGGCTACAGCATTTACTTACCAACAAATATACTGTGTGCTCGTTTGTCGAAAAAATCTATAAAAATTAAAATACCAATCAAATGAGATCAAACTGACTGCTAACGTTTTAAGGTGGTCAAATGCTCGTCGGCTACCACAGATCTAAAAGGTATGTAATATACTCGTAGTAATTTTATTTTTATATTTTTGGAAAAGCTGAAAGGGGTCATTACTTTGATCATTGTTAACACTTGATTGACTTTCACTGTGGAAGGTTGCCGATGATCGTAAAATGGTTTAACGTGGTTTGTTCCGATTTGGATGAATTCTGGTAAGTGCTTAATTATTATTTGCTAGGTGCTATACGCTACTTGCTATTTACTACACGTATTCATATATATTGGGTCCGAAATTTATTACGTAATACTGTTTATTAAGAAAAGGAAAACAGAAAATCATAATAAAACCACCATCGTCAAAGACATATTCAAAAAATTGTTAAGTAAGAATTTAAACATGACATAAAATTAACAATGTGGCAAATGACAGGCAAATTAATAATTAAAAAGACAGAAAAGCTGAAATAAAAACCTAAAATCTTAATATGTGCAATTGCTCAAAAAAGAAAATGTTTATGTTTCAAAGAACCTTTACCGATACGCGTGTCTGTTAGTTCAGATGCGAATAGTTTTTTTACAATATTGAATTTATTAAGTTACCTGTCCCCTAAAAGCCCCTGCGCCCCTAAAAGGATCACCGAGTTGTGTTATACAAACTGTAGATACCTTTTAATATTAAATATACCTAATTACATTTTTGTGTAAATTACAATAGTAAAACGTGAGATTCTAAGGAAACCCCACTATGCATGAAACATTAATTTGAAATTACTCTGAGATTGTTAATTCCGTTACCCTTTGCTGTGCAACGATTGCGGTAACCATACATGTGTCATTTTGTTTCTGTGAGAATAAAGCGAATCAGGTAATAACGTGAGTGACCTGTTACTATTGCGATGACAATATAATATTGTCCTTCAGAACGAATTTCGGCCACCGCGGCCTGCCTCAACGGAGGCTAGCCATCGCCGCAGGACAGGATTATAGTGCCCAAGTGTATGCGCACGCACAGGTGCACTCTCTATTCCCTCACTCTCATAATCCAATGGGATGGTAAACCAACACGACCGGAGAGAGATCAGGCGCAGGACTAACGGCTTTACGTGCTTTCCGAGGCACGTGAGTGAGACACCGCCAACTTCCTGACTCCGGGCAGCTACTAAGAATTTCTTAACAGAAAACCTCAATAATTGTTAACCTCAAAAATAATTAAATCATACATCGTGTGAGAGTTGTTGGAAGTGGACGTGTACATCTTTTTTCTAAATAATTCCTTTAATGGTTACTAATTAAAATTGAACTTTGTGACTACCCAGTTAAGAGTCCTTACTGTTCAGTGTAACATTACTACTCATCAGTATTAATACTTGTGTTTATCTCGTTCTTGCATCGCATCTGTGAGTTGCAACTGAAGGGAGCCCGCACCTCACCCCCCTCAAGACAGCGAAAGTGTAATATCTCTGTCTTATTATTCCTGCCTCATATCGCAAGTATACTGTGCGTAACGTCCACGTTACAGAGAACTCCGCCTAAGTGCCCATCAAACCCAGACATAAGTCTAACTACATCGGATGCTAGTTATGTAAATACACGTAAGCGTTTCACTGGAGGGTATGACTCGGAATTTCTGTCCACACTGATTGACGAACATTTTAATACATTAGACGTAAAAATTAAGGAAACTATTACAAATGTAGTTACCTCCACGATTTCCAACGAATTGGCTAAAATATCCCACTCATTATCAAGCCTAAACACAGCCATATCCGAGCTGCGAGATGAGAGCTGCGAGATTAAAAAAAAAAAACATTAATTTACACTAGGAACTGGAGCAAAAAAGCCAGCAAGCAAACAACGTATTACGGATTTAAATAATCATCTGTCGGAAGTCGATACTACTTTATCCGATCTTAATGAGCAGTCAATATCGTTTGATACACGGCTTAAGTCCGTAGAAAATCAAGTCTCTAAAGACAACTATTTATCTGACAAATTAGATGTTATGGAGATCAAACTGGCTGCAATGGAGTAACAGGCACGTGATTGTAACATTGAAGTATCAAATTTGCCTTAGCGCTGTGAAGAGAATCTTGTTACAGTCATTATTAATATTGGCGTGCTAATAAACCAACAAATCCAACCATCTGACATAATATTGGCCCATCGGGTTCCTCATGTCAGTGAAAATGATAAACGGCCTAAAAATGGAATAATAAAATTTAAGTCCAAAATTTTGCGTGATAATTTTGTAGCTTCGTACCGTGTTAAAAAGGTTTAACTTCAGATCAGTTGTCTATTACTGGATCATCGAATAAAATATATATAAATGAACATCTAACCTTAAAATAAACAGATATTTCGAAAATCCCGTGAAAAGGCCAAAACATGTAACTATAAATATGTTTGGTACAAGAATGATACAGTTTTGTTACGAAAAACTGACTCATCTCCTATCCTACCAATACGCTCACTGCAGGATCTTAAAAAAATTAAGCCTTAGAACAATTTGTAATAGAAATTTGATATCAATTTTATTTTTATTTTCTTACTGTTTATTTTTATTATTACATTTTTGTACTGATATATGGGGGATACTGATATATGAGCATGTTGTTCGCACATTTACTTGTACAAAAAGGTCAGTAACTAATTTTCTAGACTATATTATAAAACTATACTTTAAAATATACTATGTATTATGCAACAAAAATTTAAATTATCTAATACTTTATTGTTAAACACAAAACGTTAACATAATTAAGATATTTTTAGTCATTAATCATTATTCACGAATACGGCGCAATTATAAAAGAAATTTTAAAAATTCATCTCATCTACTTAATTTAAATTGTGTATCGAAAATTAATCTTTTCTTTCACAATATTTCTAATGAAATACTCAATAAATTACGAACTTTTATTAAATGGATCCCGAAATAAAAAAACATATCAATTTACTATCAGAACTGTCGAGGCTTAAGAACTAAGTTGCACACTCTTTTTATGAATATTTTACTTCACGATTATGACATAATAATATTGACAGAAACTTGGCTTCATAGTGGCATTTAAGATAACGAATTAATAGATCAACGTTATAGAGTATTTCGCAGCGATCGGAATCGGACGGCGACCAGCCGTAAAGACGGCGGTGGCGTATTAGTAGCGGTGCGCAGCTCACTTGCTGCCGTGCCATAAGGCCTTCCCTCCGCGCCTCACGCTCCTCCCCGAGCCGCCTTCTATTGTTGACCATACCATGATACTTATAGGTTCGGGTTCTAATAAGCTTCTGTTATGCGCTTCATACATTCCACCCGATTTAAATAATGAAGTATACCTTACTTACGTAGATTACATATGTTATGTCATGCAACCTTTAGACTCATGTAAATTTTTAATGGTGGGAGACTTTAACTTACCCACAATTAATTGGCTTCCTAAAGATAATTATCTAGAATCTAGCTTTTATAGTAACAGATGTTTATCTTCTAGGCACTTAATTATTTCTATGGCTTTGACGGACAGCTTCCAATTTAATCACAAATACCGCACCTTAGATTTATTTATATCAAATATTTTAGAATGTAAAATTATGGATGCTCCTTATAATTTGTTACCATTGGATAGTCTTCATCCTACTTTTTATGCTTTAGTGCCTTATATGCATGATAACAAATCTACGCCAAAGATTTCACGAAGACAGCTTTGTTTTCGAAATGCTGACTACTCCGTCATAAATAATGAACTTTCCAAGGTAGCATGGGACGAAATGTTCTCAGGTAAATCTGCTGAAGAGGCTGTGATAGATTTTTACGAAATACTCTATGGTTTTATTAAAAAGTTCATACCTACAAAAATCTTAAAACAATCTTCATTCCCTGTTTGGTTTAACGCCACTCTGATTCTCACTTTCAAACGTAAAGAGCGGGCCTGGATCAAATGGAAAAAATATGAAAACTCTTATGATTATAACGAATTCTCTAGGCTTAGAAAGTACTTTAATAAAGAGTGTGCAAAAAGATATAAAAACTACATGTCGTCAATACAAAATAATATTAAAAAGGATATAAAGCATTTCTGGACATATATATCATATCGTAAAAATACTGCTAGTATTCCGGACAATGTTTACTATAATGATAATAATGCCACTAATCCTACAGAAGCATGTACCCTATTTTCAATGTTTTTTTTCACTCAACCTTTGAAGCATCTTCAGTTTCAGCTGAATATGATATTGATAGTATCGACTTTACACAATTCCCTGATTCACACATTAATTTAACATCTATCATACTATCAGAGGATGAAGTTCTTAAAGAGTTACAAGCGTTAAACACAAACAAGGGTATGGGGCCCGATAATATATCACCAGTATTTCTGAAAAATACAGCAGTTAATATTGCTAAACCGCTGTCTTTCCTTTTTAATAAATGTTTAAGAAAAGGTATATGTCCTAACATATGGAAAGCCGCTAGAATCGTGCCTGTATATAAGTGTGGTTCGAAACGAAATGTTGAGAACTACCGTCCTATTTCTATTTTGTCAGCTGTATCGAAGCTCCTCGAACGATTAATTTTCAATTCTATATATCCATTACTGCATAATTTAATTATACCCGAACAACACGGTTTTGTAAGACGACGATCAACTACTACCAATTTATTAATATATCTAATGGACTTATTCGAAAATTTAGACTCAAATCATCAAACTGACTGTATTTATACAGACTTTCGTAAAGCCTTCGACAGAGTTGATTACAAAATCCTACTTGATAAAATTGCTTTCAACGGTATACGTGGCAATCTTTGGCGTTGGTTTAAATCATACGTAACTAACCGCACGCAAAAGGTTGTTATTAATGTTTACGAACCAGAGTCTGTGTCTGTCACCTCCGGGGTACCTCAAGGATCTACATTGGGACCACTATTATTTATACTTTTTATTATTGATATTGACTCCTGTTTTCAGCACAGTAACTTTTTACTATACGCTGACGACCTTAAAATTTATCGTACCATTTGTGACAAAATGATGACCTCAGACTCCAGGATGACTTGGACCGCTTTTCTGCTTATTGTTTAAACAATAAATTAAGTCTTAGTATTGATAAGTGCAAAATATTAACTGTCACTAAGAAAATTAATGTTAATCAACAATCATATTCCCTGTGCAGCTCTACTATTGAAAAAGTACATTCTATTTGTGACCTCGGCATTACCATTGACAGTAAATTAACACTCGATACACATGTTGAACAAATATTTAATAAAGCTCTTAAAATATTTGGGTTTGTAATGAGAGCCTGTAAGGATTTCACAAACCCAGCAACATATATCCTTTTGTATAAGGCACTGATACGCTCTCAGTTGGAATACGCTGTTGCTTTGTGGAATCCTTTTTATAATGTTTATACCGATCAGATTGAGAGGGTACAAAAAAAGTTTTTTAAGTCAATGTTCTATAGATGTAAGCATAAATATTATTCGTATAATGCTATTTTAAATAAATACAAAATGTTAACTTTAAAGCTCAGACGACAACAATTAGTAGCAATGTTATTATTTGACCTTTGCCATAATAGATATGATTGCATCCCTGTAACAAATAAATTGCGATATCGTGTACCTACTCGATCACGCGTAAGATCAACATACTCCCGTCAAACATTTGCCCTTCCCGTGTGTAGAACCAATGCTGGCAAAAGAGCGCCGTTGTATCGCTTAATGCAAAATTATAATGATCACTTTTGGGACATTGACATTTTTAATAACAGTGCTAATTCCTATAGATGCAAAGTGATTAATAAGCTTATGAGTCGTGATAACTAAAAACTAAATAAAATAAATCAAAACATAATTTAAATTATATAATTTTTGTGCCGGACGGGCGAAACTCTCCGGAGTAAATGTTGTCGAAGATACTTCGCGAGTCGCTCACGTCCTACACCTATAGGTTCCGGTGGGTACTCTCACCGCCGTCTTTGTTGGTACCGCTGAAATATTGTGGACTGTAGTTAAAATCAAAATGCACGATTAACAAATACAAATAGCAAGGTAGTGGCCAGCGGTTCGACTGATTAATTAGTCGCGAAATTTTATAACTATTTATCACGGTTGTTAAACTACGGTTGTTCACTGTATATTTCAAAAGATTTCTTTAAATTGTACGGTGGTATCAAATATCTATTGGTAGTAGCTGGTTTTCTAACACTACTGACTAGCAGCTATTATCAACTAAACTAGTTGATTTTATCACTTGTGTAACTGCGGATATCAGTTACCACTTTCACTATATGTAACTGCGAATATCAGTTACGACCTTTTTAGGCTAGCTAACACTTTCACTATATGTAACTGCGAATATCAGTTACGACCTTTTTCGGCTAGCTAACACTTTCACTATGTGTAACTGCGAATGTCAGTTACGACCTTTTTAGGCTAGCTAACACTTTCACTATGTGTAACTGCGAATGTCAGTTACGACCTTTTTCGGCTAGCTAACACTTTCACTATATGTAACTGCGAATATCAGTTACGACCTTTTTCGGCTAGCTAACACTTTCACTATTCACTATATACTGCTACTAGTCACTTCAGCTACCACCGGATACCACTCACTTCACTTCACTTGTCACTGGTAGTTCTTCACACTGCTACGGATACTGGGTCCCGAGCCCCTAAGGTAGACTTTAGCAATACTTTACAGTGAGCCACTTGCCATTTTCCGTTTTGCCTCTTTATTGCATAAACTTATCACTATACAAATGGCATAAATTGCAATATTTTCTATACAAAACTAATTGCTACACTAACATGCTATACATCATTAAATCGGTAGTCTGGTACTTTATTATTATATCATAAAGGTTACTAAAAACATTAACATTTTAAAAAGTTATTAAACGAAATGTCCCAAATTTTCATAATATTTGGGTATTTTAATTCTTTAATTTTTATATAATTATCAAATGCGTTTAATTATACAAAATATTCCTACACTTTCTTAATCTATAAGCCATATGCTAATT